GCGAAACGAGAGCAGCGGCTTTCCGTGTTGTTTTTGTGCCATGCCGGAGGGCGGGCAGGCCTGGTTTTGCTCGGGGGCGGTCCCGCCCAGGGAGCGGCCCGGCGGGGCGGGCCTCGGTGCCCCGGGCAGCGCCTGGCGTGTTTAGCGCCTGTAGCTGTGTATGTCAGGACTTGCATAAAATGGCTGGAGGTCCTGTGGCCGCGAACTTCAAAACCACTGTCATGACACAGTAATCTGGAAATACTCATTTAGTGATCACAAGAGCTGTCGTTTGAGCTGTTTGTTGCTATGTGCTGGCACTGTCCATGATCTAGAAGTTGGTTGGTCGCATGTTAGTTGTGCACAAATGGCAAGAAAGGCGACTGAGAGGATGATGTAATGAGAGGGCAGAGTTCATCAGACTTCAGATGTCATGTGGAAATAACCTCTTTTATTTGGTTTGGTTGCTCGTTAGTGTCCTGTGATCTGTGTGAAATAAGGCTCGATTATGTATCGGAGATCGCTGTATCATAACTGGCACTGGTGTGTGAGCAGTTTCTGGAGAGCTCTTAAACAGAGTGGCCAGCGTGCGTAACTAAACAGTTAAATACCTTAACTTCATTTGTTTACAGGGAAATCTGCCTTTAAACTTAAGGCTGCCTGCTTTCAGAGTTGTTGCAATTCTGAAAGCAAATAATTGGAGTTAATTATCAGAAATAAATAGGCTTTTAAGTCTTCTATTTGGTATAGTTAGTGTGTGTGTGTAGTTCTTGGTGGCAGAATGTAAGCTAAAATTCTGCTATGAACCCTAACATTAGGAGTTTGGGGATGTAGCTGCATTTGGAAACTGGTCAAAGCAATCGAGTAACCTGCACTTTTCACACGTGTTGAGGGCAGGGGAATGGTGTGCTTTGGAGACAGTCTGGTACTAACTGCAGTAGAAATATAAAGTGTGAGAGCTGCAAAGCAGCAGTATATAAAATACAGGTATGTAGCAGCATCTCACTTCCCTTCAGAAAGGAGAAGATAATACTATAAGTTGTATCAGAATAGGGTAAAGAGTTCCAGCATTGTGGATAGTGGGATAGGGAGTCAGTTCTTGCCTTTTGAGTGTTTTTTCATGTCATTTTAAATGACTGGAGAAGAATGTATAGAGTGTGTTCACAACGTGTTACTGCTGTGTTATGTCTTAAACTTTGTGATATCCAGGTTTATGGGGGGAAGCTGGCTTCTAGTTTGTGCATGTTATTATGGGTGCCCTGATTTCATGTTAGGTGTCCCAGGTAACTGCTGTTTAATGGTACAAAAAGTAAATATTCACATAGATATAAAATGTATTGCTAAAAGTGAAGTGAAGCAGCAGCTCATGAAAGTGCTCTTAGCTGTGGCAGATAGCAGTGACAGTACCTTCACTCAGCCTGCAGGATAATGGCTCCTGAGATGTACCAGAGGGAAGGTAGAGCATTGCTACAGCTGAAGCACTGGTACAAGATGCGGACTTAGACTTAATAGTTACACCTTACTGTGTTCAAGAAAATCCAGGATCAGAACCCTCGTCATGTTTGGTTTTTAGCTGTGGATGCAGGAAAGGTGCAAGTGTGGGGTAGGATCTGAAGGTTCCCCCTTTGGTAGTGAAAGACTTAAAAGCATTAGTGGTTTGGCACAGTGGAATGGGTAGGCAGTAAATGAAAAGGGTCAGATGCATCTTGGAAAGATAAGTAATTAATATAATGAGAACTTACTGATTGTAAAGTCTCATTCCTAACAAAGTCACAGCACGAATGCAGTTACCTGACTACTTCATTTATTTCTCAGACCAGTCTCATCTTTAAAGGAAAGAACAATGCTAAGCAAGCAAGAACAAGGGGGTATGGTGCTGTTTTTTCATCTTAAGATACAGTGTAAAGTACTCATATTACTGCTAAAGCTCTTTGTGAAAGAAGAGGAAAATATGTGAGTAAACGAGTTGGAACAAGTTTCAGATGGAAGCTGTGAAGGAGTAATCTGTGGTCGAGGGAATGGTGTCTTTCGTTCACCTGCTGGGTCTGTCCTACGTGCCTATGAATCATTGTATTTCTGTGCAACTGTAACTTACCTACACTTCAATTTGAAAAAATGTTTTGTAGGTGCGGGACTGCATTCAGAAAACGCTGACTGAATGGAGCTCAAAGATTGGACAAGGTGTAAATCAGGTAGGAGAGCTTATGCATGTTATCTGTGTTACGTGTGAAAACAGGAATATGTCGTCGTTTACACCTTTGAAAATGGAAATTAAACTATTGAATTTCTCTAAAAGTATCTGCAGCCTCACATATCTT